TTTGCCCTCTGGGTGAGTCCCTGCCTGCTGGACACCTATTGGCCTGTGGGAAGCATCTTTCCCAGGCCAGGGCAGTGAGGTGCAGAGAGGACCCAGTGAATGTCCCTCCCCGCCCCCAATTATATCCAGTGTTTTCTCAACTACACTGAAAGCAAACTATTTGAAATTTCATTTTTCTTAGAGGAATCTATAAACTGTCTGAAATACCATGGCGGTTGAGGCGACCAGGGCTTATAAAGATAATTTTCAATTTCTCCACCTAGCATTTATTCCTTACTGACTCTCTAGCCTTCTCCCTCTGCATGGGCCCACAGCATTTTGCACCCACTCTTCTGAGCTGTGACAAAATTCAGCTTACTCTCTGGACTCTGGAGTACCGAGTTTGGTGAGTGAGTGAGGGCATAGCCTTTCTCATTGTAGAGAACCCAGAACCTACACAAGTCCCCGGTTTCTGGAAGCAGCAGTTTGGTGTATACTCAAGTTTTGCAGCAGCAAGGTATGCCAGTGAATTAGGACTTTGCTCACAGCAAAGATGTTGGAAGCAGAGGCCCAGGCACTTCCCCTGTGTAGTAATGGCAGAATTTTGTTTTTAACATTTATTTATTTTTACTGGAGAGTCAGATATACTGAGAGGAAGAGAGACAGAGAGGAAGATCTTCTGTCCACTGATTCACTCCCCAAGAGGCCGTAACAGCTGGAGCTGAGCCGATCTGAAGCTAGGAGCCAGAAGCTTCTTCCAGGCCTCCCGCATGGGTGCAGGAACCCAAGACTTTGGGTCGTCCTCCACTGCTTTTCCAGGCCACAAGCAGGGAGCTGGATGGGAAGTGGGGCCTCCGGGATTAGAACCAGCATCCATACGGGATCCTGAGCGTGTTCAAGGTGAGGGACTTCAGCCACTAGGCTACCACTCCAGGCCCAAAAGTTTCTATCAAAGCATTAAAATCCCTGCTCAGAATTTTATTTTCCCCTTCCAACAGAATACTTTACACAAGGGAAAGAGTTATTTGAAAGAGTTACAGAAGCAAAGAGATCTTCCATCTGCTGGCTATAATAATGGGATTGGTTTGAAGCCAGGATGTCAGAGCCTGGGTCTCCCACACGGCGCCGGGGCCCATGTACTTTAGCTGCCTTTAGGTGCTCTTCTAGGAGCCTTAGCAGAGAGCTGGATCCATAGCAGTCATTGACCAGCCAGGATTTGAACCAGTGCCCATATGGGATGCTAGTACCTCAAGTGGTGGGTTACTCACTATGCCACAGTGCCAGCCCCAGAAACACGGGCATTTTAAAAGTATGTAGCAATCCAAGTAAATTTACATACAAGAGAAGTCTCAAAAGCCCTAGTCAGGTGGACTAAAATAGGCAAAATATTAATGATTTAAGATGATCGCAACTGTCTTATAGTAAATATGTACTAAGATTGAGTCAGTGCTTCTGCATGAAATTCTAGAATGCCTGACATGCCAACTCAGTCCTAACAAACAACCTGCGGAGGGTCACTGCTGTGGTTTCTGATTTTAGAGATGAGATACAAGGAGGTGATGTGATTTGCTCCAAGTTGTGCAGTCATCATAGGGCAGAACCTGAACCTGAATGGAAGTAGAGTTTCAGTCCACAGCATCATCCATCAAAAACTGAAGCCTCCTGTGCTGGCAGAAAACCCTTCCTGAATGGATCCTCCTGGAGGAGGGGAGGCTTGAACCGAGAGCCTTGGAGCTGGATGACTTCATGTCACCTCTGCAGCAACCACACCAGACACCTTCCCCCTCTCACGTTTGTGTCTTTCCAGCTTGCCTTTGCCTGGTACACTCCTCCTTTCACCTGTCTTCCTCCTCCAGGCAGAGGGCGATGGGCCAACACTCTGCTGCACCTTGCTCTGCAGGTGTGCGTCTGGTCCTCTCACTGGACTGAGACTCCTGGGGGGGGGGGGGAGGACAATGACTTGTGGTGAAGCCAGCCTCATCAGGGAGACAAATTACAGAAACACCAGCCTCACAATCCGAAGGCAGAAATTAATGCAAGAGACTTGAGAGGTTTGCAATTGCCAGAGTATATAATAGTGTTTATTCTTGGCTGAGTCTACCCACAAAATGGTGAAGGGGAAGTCCCATTTACAGCACAGAGGGAGTTTTGGAGCTGAGCATTTGCTATTTCTTGCCTGTTTCCAGGGGCGTTTCCTTTCCCTCTCAGCTGCCCTGGGGAACCTACCTCTTGCCTCCCTGGCTACTCACATAGGCCCTCTTCCTCCTCTGGCCCCTCTCTCTTTAGGCCAACAGCTTCCTTCTCTTGCCAAGTGAATCCAGACAACCTGTCTGGCTTCCGGTTACCTCCTGGCTCCTGCATCTCACCAAGCCTGCAGGTGCAAGTGCAGGAAAGGGCTCTTGGGGAGTAAGGGGGAAGTTACGGCTATTAAGGATGCATACGCTACACCCAAGCCCTACTTTTATGTCCTTGCCCTTTAACTCAGAGCCTGGCACAGGACTGATGATCCCAGGAGTGATTTCACGGCTCCTCTCCCTTTCTGCTGTTTTTGGGGAGAGTAACCCCCAGATGTGTCCAAGGCCTTCCACATACAGGCCTTAACATCTTCCCTTCACTTCCCTCCCTCTTACCTCTCCCTTCTCAGCTTCAAACAACCTCACTTCTCCAAGCCTGCATTTTTCTGCCTTCCTCCCACTTTGGTGCAATCCTCTTCTCTCTCCCTCTGTTCCCTGATCTTTAAGGTCTGAGGAGCATCGAACCCTGCCCTGTTGTCAGTCTCACTCGGCCTGGACAGCCTGCCAGCTGTTCCTCAGCCTTGTCTACCTGTCCCTGGGCCTGTGGCTTCATGCATGAGCACTCCTATTTTCTTGTGATGCTACCCAAATCATGGCTGAGGACTTTCTCATCAGTGTCCAGAGCTACCCCCGTGGAGTTCTTTATGGTCTCAACCAGACTGCAAGTTTGTGCGGCAGGACCAATGGAATGGAAGAACAAGATTAAATGACAGCCCCAGCAAGGTGCAAGTTGAGTATCCCTTCCCTGAAATACTTGCAACCAGAAGTTTACTGATTTCAGGGTTGGAGTTTAGACTATTCACACAGGTTTAATTGCTTGAGCATTCCACATTTGAAATGCTCCGAAGTCTAACATTGTGGCACACAATTTCAGATTTTTGGATTAAGGGCTGCTCATTCTGTATTATTCTGTTCCCACACATCTCAGTCTCACAGCATATTTGGCCTCTCAACGGTGAATATGTGGGAAAGTGTCTTAGGAGGAATATGGGGGAATTACTGATGTGCAGTACCTGCCGCTTCGCACTTTCCGCAGATCCCCCGGGTTAGACTGCGCAAGTCAAGCCTGGGTCGCCACGGAGCCCAGAACACGTGGGAAGATGGGGGTGTCATGCTGGTGAGTCTCTGCCTTCAGGGCTTTGCTCTTGATTGTCCTTGCCCCTCATCTCCTTCAGAACTCATCTCATGTTCCCTTCTCCCCTAGTTAACACGTGAAACACAACCATTCTCCAGACCGCGGCTGTTCACACACATTCCCTTATGGAGGGGTTCACTGCTATGCACTGCGCTAGAGGAGTTTGCCGGAGGCTCCCGCCCCAGCGTCTGGCAGGGCCTGGTGCCCACAGGCAGGCGGTGAGGATTGCTGACTGAGCAGTGTTCGAGCTCCACCTTGTCCCCGCCTGTCTCCCTGGCGCCCAACACGAAAGGTGGCAAAGAGTGGGCATTCAGCCAACACCAGGTGCTTCATAAAGCTCCGTGGAAAACCGGGAAGAAAAGTGCAACGCCAATTCTCCGTTAACTTTTTGGGGACTTCCCTCGTCTTGATCGACTGAGGGGTGCATGGGGTCGCTCATGAACCAGGTGGCTTGCTGAGGGGCAACTGAGGTGGCAGGGGACCAGCAGGAGGCCAGTTCAGCTTTGCGTCCCATGGGTGTCATGAATGGTATCATAAGCCCCCTGTGTGTGCGGGGGGGAGTGATTTTTTTTTTTTTTCGAAGGCTTCTCCGTCGCCCCGTAGTATGGCTGCAACAAGTACTCACAGGGCATTACATTTCAGCCTTTTCCTGGCAACCCTGCCACGGCCGCTCCAGCCCCTTCAAGGAGGAGGCCAGTCCGGCAGGTGCGGTCAGTCCCCAGGGCGAAGGAGCGAAGCAGCCTTGGAGCGCGAGCCCGCCCGCCGGTCCACAAAGAGCGCTTCCCAGACACAGGCTGAAGCAGGGGGAACGGCCCCTCGCCGCAGCCCGCTGGTCCCCTCGGTCCACCTGGCCCTGCTGCTTTCGTGGCAGAGGGGGACTGACGGGAAAAGCGGCGGAGGGAAGCCTCGAGTACGGTTCTGCGAGGCGCGGGAGGGCCGGGGAGGGGTCTCCCGGCGGGGCCCGGGGCCGGCCGGGAGCGCGGGAGCGGGGGGCGCGCCGTGGCTGGGCGCGGGGCTGCGCGCGCGCGCGCCGGTCTCGCCTCCCAGGCGCTCGGGCGGCTACGTGCTTCCTTTGTCAATGAGGCGCCGTTCTGAGCTGCAGCGGCAGCAGCAGCGGCAGCAGCACTCGCGGCCCGGGAACCCCGAGCCCATCCAGCCCTAGCGCCAGGAACGGACCCGGGGGGACAGCAGCCGGCGGTGCGCGGGAGGGAACCGAGCGCGTGGCACCGCCGCGTCTGTGGCTAGCCTCAGTTGCTCACAGCCTCGCCGCCTCGGTGGGCAGGAGGCGACCCCGGCGAGGGGGCCCTGGGCGGCGCCCGTCCCACCCTCACAGCCAGTGGCGCGCCGTGGGAACCCTGCCGGTGCCCGCCGCCACCGCTCCATGCGGCTCCGGCCCCAGCGCCGGTGAAGCCGCGTCTCCAGCAGAGCTTACTCAGCTCTCCGCCCCGGGCGCGGCAGGACCAGCTAACCAGTCGCGCCAGTCGGCGCCCGTACCATGGCGGGAGATGCCCGGTGAGAACCGGCGCGCCGAGGGCTGGGCTCCCCGGCGCGGTGCGGAGCGAGGCAGCGGCCTGGATGTGTGAAGAGTCCCCATGGCTTTGCAGCAGGCGAAGCCCCAGGGCCCGAGCGCCGCTGGGCGGGCGGTGCTGGGACGCGGGCTCCGGTCCCGCGCGTGTAGTGGCTTTGGCGGGGCCGGTGTGGGAGCCGCGCGCTGCCCCGGCGTGAGGGGTCCCGGAGCCACGCGGGGCCCCGAAGCCGGCGCGCCCCAGGATGCACCTCCGCCACCGCTGCCGCCGCTGCTGCTGGGACTCCTGCTGCTGGCGGCCCTTCCCGAGCACAGCGGGGCGGACCCAGGTAAGCCCTTGGCGGTGGTTCCGCCCGCGGTTTCCAGAGGAGCCGGAGCCGCCCGTCGGGGCCAGCGCCTGACCCGGGGTGGCGGTGGCCGGAGAGGTGGTGGCTACGCTGGCGCAGGAGGCTTCTCTGCGCTGGGTTGCTGTAGCAGCGCTAGCGGCAGGCGAACTGTCAGACAGCAAGGTGTCACTGGGGAAGGCAGCGCTTAGGCAGGGAAGAAAAGATGTGCAGTCACCTCTTTCCTTTGCACAAGTTGCAGCTGCTTTGCGATGGTCCCGCAGGCACCCTCCGCATGGGAGCAGCCGCGGTGTGTTTAGGACTGTCCACTTAGGAGAACGCGTTTCGGGGTGGGGATGGTCACACTGTATCCTGGTGTCCCTGTTGAGGGACCACTGCTAGTTTACTCGTGCGGCGGCTACATAGTTGAAGGCGATTCCCGCGCTGGCTTCCCACATAACGTTTCCTCTCTATGCTGATAAAAGGCCCCTCTTTTTTTGGAGGGGGGAGGGAGGAACACCTAAATAATTGCCTTCACCTTGCTGAGGGATTCAGGTCTGGAATCCACTGCGCGCAGGATCCCTATTGGCACTGGGGCTCCTAAGACACCCCCCCCCGGAAATAGATTCCTTTATTCTATTGAGCAGTATCATGGAATCTGTTTTAACTTTTTGGGGGGGGGGGTTATTCTGTTACCGTACATTAAAACTTACACGATGCAGTCAGCGGTTTTATCTTTGAAACACACGATTACTATGACACCTGTAAAAAGGCAGACTCTGTGCTCCTGATGGAGTTCCGGACTCTTGGCTCCTGTGAAGCTCAGACCACATGTTCCTGTAGTTTTGTGTCTTTATGAAGGACAGATGATGACTTCTTTCTCCACCCACCCTTCCCCCAAATTAGGTTAAATGCCTGTTTCTGAAGAAGCGCCTCCTGTTTTATATAAAAGGGTTTTCAGGTTCAAATATTTCTGAATTTGGCTGAATTCAAAGCTCATTTTCCTTTGATTCACTTCAAGGGTGTCTGGCTGGAGTGTCTGGGCTTAAGTCGCTGTCAAGGATTTTTCTGTTGAGGTGACAGTGTGAGCACAGTTCAGCTTTTGCGCTGTGTTTGAAGAGGGTGGAGGCTGTTTGTGCTTGGAGCAGTTTTCAGTATTGTGTTCATGGAGTTCATGTGTTCATGTCCTGGCTGCCCCACTTCCCCTCCAGCTCCCTGCTTGTGGCCTGGGGAAGAAGTAGAGGACGGCCCAAAGCCTTGTACCTTATGGGACCTTGTACCCACATGGGAGATCTGAAAGACGCTCCTGGCTTCGGATCAGCTCAGCTCTGGCGTTTGCAGGCATTTGGGGAGTGAACCAGTAGATGGAAGATCTTTCTCTCTGCTTCTCATTCTCTCTGTAAACTTGCCTTGCCAATAAAAATAAATAAATCTTTAGAAAGAAAAAGAGGTAATCCTGAATGTGATACAGGGAACCCCCTGCCTTAGCTTAGAAACAGGTGCTTAGTTTTTGTCTAAAATGTATCAGCTCCTGGGCAGGTTGTTTATGAGTTGTTCACATAGGGATCTTACTGGTTTGGGTGGCGGAAGCAATTCCACGATCTGCACTAATAAGTAGAATTTGGCTTTGGTGTGCCCTTTCTGTTCAGTGTGTAGTCAGGGGGTTTCTTTTGATCACTGGTAAATGTCCGATCCTCTTCCAACCTTTGGACGAAGGCACTTACAGACCCTGTGACATTGCTTGGTTCTCTAACAGCCATAGCCGCCACTGTGGAGGCTGTGGGGCTGTGCCTTTGGGTTGGCTCCCATGTCCTTTTACTTCAGTGTGGTGATTATGGGTGACACTGCTGGGAAGGGAGCTTTGATTAAGATGATGAATCAATCATTGAAGTGGATGTGACTCTCCAAGTCCCAGTGTCATTCCCCTTCTCGTGGGGGGCTTGACTTACTACTTCTTATGCGCTTTTTGGGGTGCCATCACCCTGGACAGCCCCGCTCCTTGTGACCCTGCCCACCTGTGGATCCCCAGCCTGAGTGCCATGTTTTCCTGTGGATTTGCTACAGCTCCAGGTTCATGACTTGTTTGTCTGAAGAGGAGTTGGGCGTTGCAGTTCTCACTCTCACCTCCTGCCTGGTTTCCTGCATCCTCGGGTGCCCGCGGGAAGTAGCGTAGAGTGCCTCAGGCCTGCGTGAGTGAGCTTTTGTAGGAGGAAGCTGGAGAGAAGGGAGGACACCTTCTGGGGGTCGCTCAGTAGACAGCCTTATCTGGAACTTTCTCTGAGGGTGGCTGCAGTTTGGCACCCCCACTCCTTGCAGAAGGCGGCTGCTGCTGAGAAGGCAAACCCGTGTCCGGTGAGATGCTATTAGCAGTGCTCCAGCTGAAGGGTTCGCATGCCTGTCCTTCTAGTGAAGCTAAACTTTTACCTTGATGCAAAAATGATTTTAAGAGATTTGTTCTGAAAAACAAAAACAAAAACAAAGTTGAAGCGGTTGTTCAGTAGCCTTGTGGCCTGTGGTACCTGCAATGGGTCTGGGTTCCTAGCCTGACTCTGCCCACCCCAATGTCCTTTGCTTTCTGTTCCTGAGGAGTCAGAGTCCATTTTCTTTTACACACCCAGGAAACTCTCTTGTTGTCTTCTGTGCCCTCCCAACTTCCATCTCTGAGGAGCCCTTGCTGCTAGGCAGACTTGTCTGTTTTGGGTGTGGGAAAAAGATTCTCCCTAGTATCAAGGGCTTACACGCTCTTTTCTGTTCCGTGATCTGGGCTCCAGGCAGAATGGTCAAGTTCAACTTTGCCTTCACCATGTTCTTAACTCTTGATCTTCCCTCCAGTTCACGTGGCACACATGTCCTGTTTGCCTGTGTGTGCAGACACAGCGCTCATTCCTTGATGGGCAGGGATGACACCTCCATGCAGCCTTGACCCCTCTGGGCCTTATCTGTGAAATGGGGATTGGAACTGCTCCAAGCTCATTGGATCACACGAGCTTGTGCATGTTAAAGGGTTCAGAGCAGTGCCTGTTTACAGTAGTTGCTCAGTGAATGCAGGTCTGCAATGGGTCCTGAGAGGCTGAAGTTGAACAAAGCAGTCTGGACTTCTAGGGAAATATTAGAGCCTGCGGTTTGAATTTGGGATCCATGCATGGAATGCAGGAAGGAACCTGTAGAGGCGGGCTGCCCCTGCTGAGCCATGCATGAGCTGTGTCTGGGTGTGGACAAGGCTTGGCTGAGCTGTAGCACCCAACAGCAAGAACTGGAATGGGTGAGGGTCAGTCAGGAAAGGCCACTGTTCCTGCTAGGACAGGAGGTGGACTATGGCTCATGGACTCACTGGTGTGTGTGAGTTCTGGCATTTAGAGAGGTTCAGATGCAGGAGCTTGGGAAACTCCTCTGTCAGGACATAGTCCCTGCAGGTGAGTGCAAGAAGCACAATAGGGAGCAGCCCAGAACAGGGCCAGGTAGTGATACCCACTGGCATACATTTAGCTCAGTTCAGGGGTGAACCAGGCTGGGCCAGTTCATATTACCAACTGGTAAATCCAAGCACCAGAATGGAGTGTGGGTCAGGCCAGGTTGTGCCAAAGCAAAAGCCAATTCACAGTAGGGCCAGGACTGGGGGCTGGATGGGCTGAGCTAGGCTGTAGCCCCACCCCCAACATGAGGTGGGATTGGGGGTGGGCTGGGCCCAGCCCAGCTGCAGTACCTACTGGCAAATCCTGAGGTGGGTTGGGCCATGACAGACTGGGTCACAGTGCTCAACCACCACATGTGAGACCTAGGGGAAGGGGGTAGTGAACCTGGTAGGGGGCTGAGTGGGGCTCTCCTGCTAGACCACCGCTCCCACTGGAGAGTGTGAGTTGGGATGGGGGCAGACCAGACTGGGCAGAACTACAGCACCTGTTGGCCTCATGTGAGCTGGATCAATGGAAAACCAGGCTGGGTTGACTGTTCCTGTTGGTACATGCATAAGCCAGAGTGCTGTGGGTTGGTTGGGCTGTGCTGCAGCATCACCAGGCATATGTTGGCACGGAGGCCAAATTCTGTCAAGTTAGACTGCAAAACCATCTGGAGAGTACAAAATCTGGGAATGGGAGTGGGCACCTCCCTCTGGGTTGCCACTCTGGTGAGCATGAGAACCGGGACTGGGGCAGGCATGGCTAGACAAAGGGTGGCACCTGCCGGCAGGTGTGTGGACTGGAGAGTGGGGCTGGTTGGGTTGAACTAGGCTTTAATGCCCATTGACAAGTTTGAGAGCTGGATGGGCTGTGGGACTGACTGGATCAGTCTGCTGTGCATATTGGCAGGCACGGGAACTAGGACATGGATAGGCCTGGTAGGGATTATTTCAGGTCGTTCTGACTAGGCTGCAGCTCCCACTGGTGTTTGTGAGGGCTGAGTGTGTGGTGAGCAGGATCGGGCTGGACTGCAACACCCATTGGTTTGTGTAGAAGTCAGGGCTGGAGACAGAACTGACCCATCAATTGCAGCCGCTAGCATGTGCATAAGCTGACTAGGGTGATGGACTGTGCCAGACCCTGTATGGGCATGCACACACAAAAATCAGGTCTGAGATCACCTCAGATGAAGTTTCTTTGGGGTTCCCTCCAACTGAATCGCTGGACTCAGAAAACTTCAACCATGGAGAGAATTGTAGGTTCCTTGGTCTGACTGTGGAGTACAAGTATCAGAGGTGGGCTTCCTCAGTGGTTTAGATGGAGCAGTGGACAACATATCCAGATACACATGGAGGATATGGCAATCCATTGGAGCCTGCAGAGGACACCTGGTACCATAACGGAGGACGGAGGATAGAACAAATTGATCAGCTTCCCCAGCCAAGTGTTGGGCATATGTAGACTCTAAAGTAGACTGTGTCAACCAGTGGATTCTGGATTGTGGTTAGTGTTGCGAGATAGGCAGTATTTCAGAACTGGTAAACCATCAAAACCGCCTTGAGCATGACCCTTGGAGCATGTCCCACCAGGAACCCTGGGATGGCATTAGGT